TGTGGCTCTGATAGACAACTCGGTGTGTCAAAGAGTGCCGATCAGAAAGGCCCCGAGCTCCCCTGGTTCACATGATGTCTGGGTGAATGAACTGGGGCTGAGTATATTATGGGGTCTGACAAATGCTGATGGATTGGGCGTCCCAGTCAATAGAAAAGACTGTGAATGTTGTCAGTACAATGAGAGCCATTGTGTGGCAGGGCAAGTCTCTGCCTGTTTCCTAAAAGACGGAGACAGGTGTATCCATAGTATGGTCATGCTAGAGAGGAGGGCCTCCCGCCACCAAGACTTCATCTCACCTGCTTCTGTCTCTTCCTTTTATCATTCTTATTAAGCAGAGCTGATTGTAATTTGATCTGAAAGTGACTGATAATAAGGTGACCAACTTTTTTACAATGAAAAGGACACAAATAAATTGAAGAAAAAAATATCGTAAATAAAAGAAACATTTTATTCATTGCAACAATAATACAGAATGCACTATAATGTGATAAATCATAATAAAAACATTTGTAACAATAACATTTTATATTGTAATTGTGTTTACATGCCGCGCCCTGCCCACAGCCGCCCTGCCAGCACGGCTGCCCCACTGTGTAGAGTGGGCCTCGCGGCTCCCAAAGCACCAGCTGCACCAGCTCTGGCTCTGGGGGGGGGCAGCCCGCCATCGAAACACCCCGCCTGCAGCCACCCCGCCAGCACCACGCCCACCCTGCACAGCCCCATGTAGAGCAGGCCCCGCGGCTCCCACAGCACAGGGGCGGCTGGCCACCACCGCCCCTCACACCTCCGCCCACAGCAGCCCTGCCACCCCTTCCTCTTGTGCCCACAGCCATTATTGCCCTTGCAAGGCTGAAGATCAAGAGAAAGTTACCGTGGCGTTGCTGCTCCAGTCTCCTCCAGGTAGGAGATGGTGTAGTTGGGTAGCAGGGAGGGGTGCAAAGTTCCTGCCAATTTGCCTTCGCTGCAGACAACTTACATTTGCAAAAACGGCCGGGTGTTTTGGTGTGCTCAGCAGCAATTCCTATTGGCTTTTGAAAGCCAATAGGGAGTAGCACAGCTCATGCAAAAATTGAAAAAAAAAAACATCAAAAAAAGGTGCTGGAACACCGTTCTGAGCATTCTATGAGAAAAAAAAGCCCTGCAGATTAATCTTCAAATATCGAAAAGGGGGACATGTAGGAGGACACTTTTCGAGGGAGGACAGAACTTAAAAAAGGAGGACTGTCCTCCCTAAAGGAGGATGGTTGGTCACCTTATATAATGATAAGTATCTCTTGCTCTACTCTCTCAGTACCAGAATCCCCTCCTGTTTTAGGGACTTAGGGCTCGGCCTCAGCATCAAGCAGGGCCCACATCTGCAAGCAGGGCTTAGAGACTTTTTAGTCTAGACCAGGGGTAGTCAACCTTGGCTCTTTTATGACTCGTGGACTTCAATTCCCAGAATTCCTGAGCCAGCTCAGGAATTCTGGGAGTTGAAGTCCACGAGTCATAAAAGAGCCAAGGTTGACTACCCCTGGTCTAGACTCTGACAATGAAAGCAAATCCTCAAACCTGTAAGGAACTTTCTTGCCAAGAACACACATTACTTTTCCATGTTTACTGCAAATACCTTGGAAGGCAAAGATTTGTCTTTTCAGGTTCAAAAAGAGGGAGCCGAGACATATTTTGCAATGTTTCTTCCATGCTGCAAATCTGTGTATGATTAATCCCAGAAGTTCTGTTCAAAACTGAATAGTACTTTTAGGGAGGGTAATACTATACTTTTTTTTTTTTTTTTGCAATATACAGCCACAATTGACCCCAAATTTTCTCTTGCTAAGCAATGCAGTTGTTAAGTGAGTTTTCCCCCATTTTACCACCCTTGTCCCAGCCTTGTCCTATTTATTTAACTAAATATCGTTTAAAAGAAGAGCATCTTAAAGACCAATAAGTAAATTTTCACCCACATTTCCAGGGAGCACAGCGCTTTGATCAGATATATGATATAGATTTGTAAGGGGCTGTAAAACACTGAAATATGCCTGCTAAAGATAACTATATCTTTCACTATGGAAGATATACTTAACTTTGCATTTAAAGCACTATTGAGCTCAAGTCTTGTGACCCTATTCAGAATTTCTAAATGTGGAAGAGATAATCATCTTTTTTAAAAGTCTGCTATACAAAAGCTTTCACCAACCAGGCAACCTCTAGATATTTTTTAGTTTTGATTAAGATGACTTTCAGTCAACTTTGGCAAATGGTATTATGTGAACAGAGTGTTGTAGTATTAAGGCACCAGTCTAGAAACTAGGAAATGATGACTTCTAGTTCTGCCTTATGCCTTAAGCCAGCTGGATGACCTTGGGCCAGCCACTATCTGTCAACTTCAAGAAAGAGGCAGTGGCAAGCCACTTCCAAAATCTTGCCTAGAAAAATGCAGGGACTAATCCAGGTAGTTGCCAGGAGTCAAATAGTGACTGAAAAGCACCAACAAAACATGTATGGAGTGGCAGAACACAAAGCTTCCAGATGCCACCTTGGGCATCACTGGAAGAGACTGTGTGGGGAAAAAAATCCTCTTTGGGATCCTGGACAGATCCTGCACTTGTTGTAGGAAATAAGGACCTCATTAGACTCGGTCCAACTCTGTCTCCAAGGCACTCAGCACTTTGTACATCACGGGTGTCAAACTCGCCATGTCACGTGACATATCACAACATATCGTAACTTTTTTTCCATTGCCAGAGCTGAGGTGGGTGCGGCCTCCGCATGATGCAAGCGGCCCACAGGGCTGGCAGTTTGACACTCCTGTTCTACATGCAAACTGCTTGCTTTTCAGCTGAGCAACAGCCACTATCTTCTCGCTATTTTTGACTCCAGGTCATGTTTAATTTAGGACGAAAGAGAAGGAGAAAGGACATTCCTGTCCTTCGGTGAACAAGAAAGGGTAACCAATGGGACAACCTTCCTCCAAACAAGGCCGAGAGCCTTCTCAGCATTAACTGGTCTTGCATAGCACACCTTTCCAAAGCACATACTCTCATTTGCCATAAAAATAAAAACAAAAATCCCTGAACATTTCCAGCTGAAAATGCCATTGAACTGACACATTTTATTTGTTCTCTTGCCTTTTAAAGAGGCATTTTATTGTAAAATGCATTTACTGTGGTTTGGGAAGTCTACCCTTGTATTTTGCTTGATACCATGGGCAGACGTGGTCCAGAAAGATAATGTATAAATATGTAAATGCATATTTAAATAAAACTATTCCTTATTGCAGTGTTTCCCAAACTTGACAATTTTAAGGCATGAGGACTTCAATTCTGGGAGTTGAAGGTCCACATGCCTTAAAATTGTCAAGTTTGGGAAACACTGCCTTATTGCAACCAAGTCCTCCCTCCTCTGTTGTAGGGTTAAAGGGTGATGGTCTCACTTCAAAGGGTTTATTCCCCCCCCCCATTGTTTGGCAAGACCTTCCCCGCACCTGCTTTTGAGCTCAGTTCTTTTCTTTGGCTTTCTGCTATTTGGGAAAGAGGGGGGGGAGACAGCCTTGACAGCATATTTTTACATGGCTTCCTAAAATCCTCCACCGAACTATGGAAAATATTTATGAAAGTTCTCAGAGGTCTGAAATTTGCTATGGTTGGGGTGTTATGTTTCTCCTCCCGTTCTTTTTCTTTTCTTTTCTTTTTTTGCTCTCTTTTCTTTATTTCTACTTTTTTAAAAAAAATATGCTTGAAGCTCTCAGCAACAAGTGCTGGTTTATTGCAAATCACTTACCAGCAGCATAAAGACGGCTTTGTAATGCTGGACTCCAGATGTTTAGCATTTTCAGGCTAATCTAATCATAAAGAACCTGCTCATTAAAACACCAGCTGGACAGGAGGGATTTTTTTTTTAACTTTTTAAAGTTAAAGACCAAAAATGAGGGAAAAGAAAAGAAGAAGAAGCAAATGCCTGGTGTTATGATCAAACAACGGTGCTTATATGGTTGGGTCTGTTGGCATTTACACACCATGGGTAATCTCTTGGAAGAGAATGGTAAAAAGAAGTGGATGATGGAGGCAGGCCTAAGAGGATAAAAATCTGGGACTTAGCAGACTTCAAATCAGTAGTCAAACCCTGGTATTGTATGCATACATATGTTCCTTCTTGAAGGCAAAACCCACCTCATTTCCTTTGCCTTCTTCTTCTATTATAAGTGGTCTTAAGAGGCAGTATTCCCAATACAATCATGGTGATGATTTAGGGATGGGGCAAAAAAAATATACTTAACTCTTTACAATAAAGCTTATTGAGTTGAAATGAAGCTACTCTCAACTGAGAGTATATAGATTAAAATGCCTTTGATTTAGGGAATTCATTTGTGGATTCTCAACATAAAAACTCTCTAAATGCATACCTTTTAACAAATGTTGTTGTCCCAGAGAGCACGTTAGATTCCAGATTAAATAACCAATTTTACAATGGCTAGAACTGCAGTATTGGAAAGGCAAATAAGTCCTCATTAGGGATTGTATCCCAATTGCAGAATAGTTGTTCTCCAGCATGTAGAGGAATGTAGACTCCACACATGGGTTGATTTAGTCTTCTAGCCCAATCAGACCAAACAATCAAAGTTGCCACACCTCTGCAGGGTCTGACCATGCCCCAGTTTTTGTTTGGTCTCAGCCCTGAAGACACATGAGAATTTGGCTCCTAATTTAGATTCAGAAAGGTAGTTATTGCCATTCGTGGTTTCTCTATCCTTTTTTTTCCTTCTTGGGGGGGGGAATTGGTTCAGCTCTGAGCTCAGTGCTGCACCATTTCTTCTCTCTTAATCAATCCCTTCTCCGTGAGTTTTCAGAGGCAGACAGCTGATCGTAGATTGCTGCCTCCTCATTGCAATCCACCTCCCCCACCCCCTCCCAAGATCTTCGCTGTGAATGCGAAGCTAAACTACTAATTTTCAGCTGAAAACTGAAATCACCTTCTTAGGTTAGTTACCAATTCAAACAACCTGCGGGCGCCATGATTTGGCCTGTCAGTTAAAAGGGTTAACAAAAGATAATGTGAAATATCTCTGTCCAATTCAATATCATTGCCAAGGAGATTATAATGGGCTGCAAAGATTAATGAATTTGATGTAAACAGTGTCCTCCCATATTTCAGGAGAAACTATTCAAGGCCCCTCCAAGTACAGAAAGAAACTCAAAGGTAAGATGCCACAGATGAATTGGCCCTGTCAACATCTTGTTTCAGATACTATGATAGAGAATTTCAATGCCTCAGGAAGCTAATTGAGATATTTCATCTGTTTTTAGTTGAGATATTTCATCTGTTTTTAGTTGGCCAATGGCTCCAAGAGATGGGTTTAGCCACCCCTCAATATTAGCTGGGTTATTGCTGCCAGCTTTGCCTGGACAAGTCTGCCATGGACTTGCCCACACAAAGCTGGAATAAGTTTTGACAGGGCTCTGGCTTGGCATGCACACACACAATAAGTGGGAGAACCATGAAAATGGGCACCACACTAGGCTCTCTTGCTCTGCAAATTCACAAATTGTGATTGTGTGGGCACTGGAATGCTGTAATGCCCACAATTGTAAGGACCCATTGTAAGTTCCCCTCATTTGGCTCTGTTGTAACTTGGGCATTCAATGAGGAGTACCTGGGCTATTTTAAACAGACATTTTCGTGCTGGTTTGTGCCTTGAGGAGGATTGTGTTCTGTGATCATAACTCAGAAAGAAGGCTTAGAACTTTTCAGGTTGATGACCAGTATGCTGGATTTCAACTGTCCTTGTGTTTTTCAATCAATCAGAAAAGGGAAGGCATTTCTTTCCTTTTGTCTTGTTTCTATACAGTATGTCAGCTGAAGGGAGGAAAAGATGGTGTCAATGAACAGCAGTGAAAGCAATAATTGCTATTTTACCCTAGACTGTCCTCAGCAGGTAAAAAGAGAATCTTGTGGCCAGCATATCATTTGGCAAAATCATTCATGATATTCTGATTCTGGGCTAAATGTGGACTGCATGATAATTACATGAAAGCAGTTGTCTCAAAAATTATGCTTAGCATGGCTTCTCCTCTAACTGGAGTTAAATACTGGGAGGGATGTCACAAAGGAAGTGGAGGCAATGTTTATGTAGATAACACATAATTGGGTGAGATGGTCAATATCCCAGAAGACAGAAATAATCTCAGTATATTAGCAAAATGGGTTTAGAATCGCAGAAAAGAAGTCTGAGTTAAATACAAGAACTTTCTGAAAGGATGTCACATAGAAGAAAATTTAAGACCTGTTTTCTATCATGATAGAAGACATGGCATTGAATAATGGACTTAAATTACAGGAAGGCAGTCTGACTGAAAGTTAGCAAACTGAACAGTAAGAAAAAGCACAATGATGGAACCAATTCAGTTAGAGATTGCATGCCAAACAGAGGTTAGTTAATTGGGTGGGATGTAATAATGTGGATTTCTGCACAGAAAAAGAGATTAAACTCAATGCCTAAATGGATCCTTCCATCTCTCTGATTCTTGAATAGATGGTATAGGATGGATGGGTGCCAGCATCCTTACACAGGTGCCCCTCTGTCCTCCCACACATTGTCACCCCTCTCCACAAGCTTCAGCAGCCACCCCCTAAAATTGCCACTCTGCATAGTTGTATGACTGAACCTGAAATTGCCACTATGTCGTATGAAATATATGGTACCAAATGTAATCAGAAACTTGGGGTTGACAAATGTCCTGGTTTGATCTGAAATAGACACAGATCACATAATTCCTTTTTCTAAAACTCATTTCAATCTTTGAGCCACATTGTGCTCCTAGCAATATCATCAGGACACTGTCCCAGATACACTTCACCAATACATTGACTACTTCCGACAATATTTTACCCATAGCATGAATTCACCTCCTCATCCACTGGGTGATGCCACTTTTGGAGAACTTCTGTTTGATCTCTAAATCAGATAAATAGTCCATGCAAGCAGAATACATGGGATGAAGAAAAATGTACCTCCAACTTTCTTGTGAGGCCTGAATTTCTAATGGTCACTTTGTTCATAAGTTACCAACAGTGGCACTACACAGGTCTGCTCATGAGAATTCTCAGATACACCAAGGGAAAAAAGAGAATCAGCAGTAATCTTAACTACACAGATGCAGATTCCATAAAGCTAAGCTCATGGATGAGACAAATTTAGTGTTAGCAATGCCATTCAGTCTTCTTCAAGCTTTGAACTGGCAAAATGTATTGAATAATTAAAGAAACAAAAAGTATGTGTGAAATCCTTATTTACCGACTTTCCAGGTAAGAGAACTTTCTTGAGGTGGCTAAATGCATAAAAGAAATAAGAAACTGAACAATAATAAGAAAAACCATCCTAACCAACCTTAAAAAGGTAACGATTACCCTGTCCAGTCATGTCCAATTCTACAGCGTAGTGCTCATCACCATTTCTTGGCTGGGAAGCCAGTCTTACACTGATGTAATTCTTATAGTTTAGCAGGATATATATCAAAATATGCAGCGGCTACATTATCAGCTTTGGAAGATCTGAGATACAAGCTCAAGAGTAAATAGAGACAATAACCCAGCTCAAAAACTGTTATTTGGTTAACCAACATAAACCACAACGATTGACTTCACTCAATTTGCTGTGTGAAACCAAACTACATTATTGCTCAACACAATGTGTGAAGCAGGCCACGCAAAAACTACTCTATTAGATGTGTTTTAAGGCTGTGATTAGAATTTTAGCAGTTGTCTAGTAAAGTGATGATAAAAAGAGCACCGAATTTTTTTCAGAAAATCTTGTCCTGCACGATTTCACAATAAAAAGGATTAGGAACAACCCTAAAAACTGAAGGGAAAAAATGTTGGATTTTGCTCAAGCAATGCATTGTTTTCCTTTCTACACAGTTTGAGAAAGTCACAGAGAAAAAAAGAAAGAAGAGACTCCAGTAATACAGCCCTGACTGAAAAGATGTAACCAGTACTGAAATAATGTGAGAAAAGATCAGTGCTTGCTAGTTTGGTATCTAGGGGTACGTGCAAACATTTTAGATGTACCAAAATGTTTTAGATCAAAAGGGGAATGTTTAAGGATACTATCATTGCCAGATAAGTCTGGCAGGTGATGTTAGACAGATGCTGTGAGCTGTAATTATTGCTCCAAATAAGACACAGAATGTAGTTCATAATAGCAATAATAAATCAGACCTTAATGCCATTGAAAAACAGCTCCAAAAAGAATTGCAGCTTCCCTATAACTTTAACTGTTCGCTTCCCATGACTTTCTATCAGCAGTGCCTGGTTTTGTTACAGCCCCTTCCCACCAGTCAAGTGAAATCAAAATGTGCTTGAATTCACCTTCCTGCAAGTCCCAAGCACATCACTTTGAAATTAAGAATATTATCAGATCCATAAATCTGGTCTGTTACTGGAATGGAAAAGACTGAATGATAGCCAACTCATCAATAACTTTCTAGGAAAATAGTAGGTGGCTAAATCCACATCTCAGTGTTTTCCAGTCAAGCAGATATGAGGCATTATCTCATGAGAAGCATCCTATCATCCTTCTCCTTATCATTACTATGAATCATTGCTTCAGGAAAGTTTCCTGTCCACCAAATATTTCTATGAAAGCTAATACATTGATAAACATTTCTATCAAAGAAACAGCAGTTTCTTCTAGCCACTAGAAAACAAGGTGCATGAGGGGACTTAGTTCAGCTATCTGTTTATCTGAGTTAATTCAGGTCACCTTCAGCAGATCTGAGTCAGTCAATTGCTTAAGGGATGGATGGATAGGTGGACTCTGTCCCCTGCTAGCAGGCTGCAATCATGAGCATCTCGATCTTGAAATCTGAATCTGAATCTTGGAAAATGTACAGGTACAGATTAGTGAAATCTGGTACAGTAGCAGCACTAGGATCTTGGATTCTAATGGACAATCACTTAAATATGAACCAGCAATGTGCAGCAGCAAACAAGCATTAACAGAGGGATAGAATCAATCACATGGAAGTATTAGTATCACTTTATAAAGCCTTATTACGACCACACTTGGAATACTGCATCCAGCTTTGGTCACTGTATTGTAAAAATGATGTTGAGACTCTGGAAAGAGTGCAGAAAAGAGCAACAAAGATGATTAGGGGGCTGGAGGCTAAAACATATGAAGAACAGTTGCAGAAATTGGTTATCTAGTCTACTGAAAAGAAGGGCTGGGGTGACATAACAGTGTTCCAATATTGGGGGACTGCCACAAAGCAGAGAGGGTCAACCTATTTTCCAAAGCACCAGAAGTCAAGATAAGAAGCAAAGGATGGAAACTAATCAAGGAAAGAAGCAACCTAGAACTAAGAAATTTTCCTAACAGTGAGAAACAATTAATCAGTAGAACCGCTTGCCTCCAGAAGTTATGGGTGCTCCAACACTGGAGGTTTTTAAGAAGAGACTAGACAGCCACTTGTCTGGAATGGTATAGTGTCTCCTGCTTGAGCAGGGAGTTGGACTAGAAGAACTCCAAGAACCCTTCCGACTTTGTTATTCTGTTATTCTATTATTCTGTTATATATTCCACTGAGCCAAATAAGCATTGCCTCAGATTCAACACAGATCGTGGAGGGGCTGCATTGTTAAGGGAGCAATGAAACTCAAAACCAACCAAGAAAGCAGTACAATGCAAACAGCCCCGTGACTTTAAAGTGAAAGGAGCTTATCAAAAGAGAAGCATAACAACACAAAACTTTTATGAATCATCTCAGTGTTTTTACACCTTTTGGCCAGGACACTGAAAGCTGGGAATTGCAGTCTTACTTTTTACTGAGCACCAGTTAATTTTCCCACTAGTAAAAAAAAAAAGATTTGTTCTTGATTAAAACAAAACAGGGATTGCATATCTATATAGGACTGAGGAAACCCAAGTTCAAATCTCTATTCAGTCATAAAACTCTCTTTGGCCAGACATGCTCTCTTAAATCTCCAGAACTGTTATTTTAAAAAAATACAGGAGAAGAATAATAAACTTGCTGAGCTCTCTAAATGATAGCAATGACCGAATGATAAGAATGTGAAATAAGTAAATGAAACATGCATATCAGCATTCACGTCAGGGCTTTGGAAATCCCTGTAGATCCTGCCGCAACCCCCAACCTCACTGAAACCTAGTATCACTCAATTTTTAAAATTTGAACACAGTTTGGATGACTGAATCACTTATTTAAACAAAACATCCCCTCTTCTCTTTTTAGTTTCATTCAGCTAACATTGAGATTCCAAAAGCAGCAAATGCTAAATTTCCAGCCACGATGGAGAGACAAGTTAGGAACAGGAGGGTGAACCAGCCCACCTCATCAAGCTGGACAACACAAGCAGGTCTCTGTCCTCTTTGCCTTCAGTAATGTGATTCCTTTGTGTTTCTTTTCACAGTTCCTCCCAATCCTTTTTCTCAAGCTGCCAGCAAGATGAGGACACTCTTTCCTGTACATTATTTAAATCTAGCGAAGAAGCCACCTGCTCCCTTCACTTTGATTTCTCAGAACACCCCAAATGTTTATTTCAAGGAGTTCAGGGCCAGCTTATTTAGGGGGAGACACACATATATATTCTCCTCTCCTTCTCTTTCTACCCAGTCCCCCCTTAGGACACAGTTAATGAGTAACTATAGCGTGCTTGGAGGCAGCTGTTTCAGACAAACCAAAGAGAAGGTTTTTTTGTTTTCTTTTTTTGGAGCTACATAAGGGAGCATTTGTTCTGTGGCTTCTCAATAGATCCTTGTACAGGAGGCTAAAGAGAGGCGGGAGGCGAAGGAAGAGACACTAAATCACCCTAACTTCTGGAATTTTACTGATATATACATATATCCTTTTCATAATAGCACCAGACTTTCAAGTCTTAGCTTCTCATTTAGTCTTAGGTGAACTTCTTTAAAAACCAATCTCAACTTCTAAAAAGGCTTTAAATCACAGAGGGAGCTGAAGTACACAGTATGTACTTGAAATGTGATATCTACCTCTTCCTTATCACACTACATAAGAAACTTGAGGTACCCCCAAACTATCAAACTATATTGCTGTAACAGGCTTGTCTGCATTATGTACAGTATAACCTCCATCATCCACAACCAACATGGTATTTGACAGCTGGAGTGCAGCACTTTGGAGGAGAATGTCTATGAATGTACAGTTCCACCAGGAAACTTTGAGACACTTGATAATGCATGGCATCAATAAAGTTTTGTTTATCCAGCTTAGAAACAGAAAATGAAAGTTCTGTTTCAATTTTAATTAACTCCATTTCACAACTCCACCCGTGGAAACTGGCTGGGAAGGTTGCAAATGGCAATCATGTAACCCTGGAATGTTGCAATTGTCGTAAATATATCCTGATTGCCAAGTGCCCGAATTTTGATCACCTGACTGTGGGAATGGTACAATGATCATAAGTCATTATTTTCAGGGCTGCCATAACTTCAAACAGCGATTAAACAAACAGTTGTATGCAGTGGTGGGATTCAGATATGTGAACAACCAGTTCTCTGTGTGGATGCCACTTCCAGAAGTTCATTCTGGGCCTGGGCAACAAAAAATTAGCTACCGGTTTTGCCGAAATGGTGCGAGCCAGCTGAATCCCACCACTAGTTATAAGTCAAGGACTTCCTGTAGTTCAGTATTGCAGATTAAAGAAAAACTTCTGCTTCAGAAGGAACATAAAGAGCAACAACCTACATGCTTTTTAATGAGTTGCCCAAAGGCCTCCAATTTAGCTCATTTCTCTGTGATCCTGATCAGTCCTGATCAAAAGATACAGTCAAGCATAAACGAGCAGATCCATATGTGAACAGTTCAAGCTAACTACTTTATTGTATTCTGCCTATAGTACAGGAATCTCCCCAAACTGCTTGCCTTCCCTTGGGAACAGATAGATAAGGTTCCAGGGAGCTTGGCTGGGCAGACAGCCCTGGATCTCTTGCAGCTGCACAATGATTCAAGGCTAATTCATACTTGATCCCTCCTCACTGCCTGCCTGGGCGTTTCCCAACAGGTATTCTGTAACTGTTCTCTCTTTTCTTAGGAAAAGGAAGTGATGAAAGAAATGAGGAGGGGCTAAAACAAAACATCTTGTAACATTTTGTGAACAATGCAGGGCAACTATGCAATAAATGCCTTGTTTGGTAGAGTTCCTCTAGTCTAGTGGATTAATTAAGTAAATCAGTTTTCTTGGATATACTGTACATGAGGCTAAAATGTTAGGTTTTCATTGAAGATTATGAACTTTAATCTATCACACTGACTCAACATGGGTTGATAGAAGGGTGTGTTCTGACTTCTCAGTCTAGAGCTGAGAGACAGCAACTAGCTAAGGCTTCCATGCTTAAGGGAGGACTAGAACTAGTCTCCCTACTTCTAGTCCAGCACCTTTTACTACTACTCCATTTTCTATACAGTGGTTTGTGGTTCATTCATATCACTTAATCAAAGGTGACAGCAAAGAAATTAAAGCCATCTCATGGAATAATTGCATCTAAGTTGCACAATAATGTTTCCTAGTGGTGGTAAAAGTGATAGGCTTGCAGCTTCAAGAATGTGCTACAACTCATTGCCTATGTGATCTTTGGTGCATGGGGCACTATCAGCAGCACAGCCTTATACAGTAAAGGAGGTCTTTTCATATCCTGCTCCTGATGAAATTGACATGAGTGAGAAAGAAAGAAAGGACTGCCATTCAGTCTAGTCACAGAACATACATTTTGCAAACATATTGTCCCAGGTCCATTTTTGGTATTTCTACATAGGGCCGATGAAGATTCCAGCCTGAAATCCCAGACAGCCATAGCGAATCACTATACTGCAGCTAAACTAAGTATCTTTGCCTACCACCCTGAGTAAGACAGTTTCCCATATTCGCCTTTATGATTTTTTGGGGTAACCTATGAAGTAGGGTTCTGGGCTGCAAAAACAGGGACTACTAAATTATTATTATATTTATTTCTTTAAACTTATTTAAACTCACTACTTTAAACTCCAGTAGACTTTGGGCAGCATGCAAAACTCAGGGAAACATAAAAACAGCTAAAAATATTAATCACACAGGCAGCCCAGACTAAAATGATCTAATGGAAAATCATTAGCAAAATGAGTGTTGTTCTAGCAAGACCACCACTACCACCACCAACAAAACTGGGGGCCATGAACATATAACAAACATCAATTCCAGGCCTGGGATCAAAGCTGGGTTTTCAAAGCTTTCCGAAAAGCCAGGAGAGAGGGTACCATCTTTATATCTGCAGGATGCTGTTCCAGAGGCCCACAAAAGAGAAGGCACACTTTCTGGATCCCTCAAGGTGGCAAAGTTTAATGGGGGAGACCTGGAATATGCCCATCTGTTGGAACATCCTGGGCAGGTAGAAACAGTTGGAAATAAGTAGTCTCTCAGGTATCCAGGCCCTGGGCCATGCAGAGTTTTATACGTAATAACAAACACCATGAAGTGTGCACGGAAGCCAACTGATAGCCAATGCAGCTCGTGTAGCAATGGTGACACATGGGTACCCTGAGAGGGGCTGCTGCATTTTGAAGCAGCCATAGCTTCTGGGTGTCTTCAAGGGCAGGCCCATGTAAAACACATTGCAATAATCCAAGCATGAAGTAAGCAGGGCACGAATGATTGCCTGAAGGGCCTCCTGTGTTTGAAGGATAACTCTGATTGCTTCCATCAAATGCTTGTGTGGATTTTTGCAAGCTGGATCTGAATATCAAACTAGAAGTTCAAGGTTGCAATGTTACAGGCTAAGTGCAAGCAATTAGACAGCTCTGCAGTGAAGGCATGCAAGTAAGCACTGAATGCAAGGCAATTCGACTCCGGAAGTGTGGCAAGGTAAGACACTAGCTTTAAACAGATGCATTTACCCAAGTGAGCATGAGATCTTGTTGAATAAGCCATATTATATCTAACCCTATACATCCAATAACTGAAAAAGAAGAAGAAAAGAAAAGATAGGCAAACATACTTAGTTTAGTTACTGAAAAGAAGAGACAAAAGAAAAGGAGGGAGGGAGGGAGGGAGGAAGGAAGGAGAAAATAAAGTAATATAAAAGATGAAGGCTATCAGAAAGTGAACTGCAATAAAGCAACCAAATCAGTGACCAGAAATTGAGAGGCGGAGTTGGAATTTATAACACTGTAAAAGGACAAGCTGTCCGTACTGGAATTCGAACTCTGCTCTAAAAGTTGTGTCTGTCTTGCCAGTTCCAGAAAGTCGTGCATCCAGAGAGTTGAAAAGCTTTCACAAGTATGTTTATATATAACACAGAGGGGGAGAGACTTGCGTGACTACAGCTCTGGCTGGAAACATAAAGTCATTGTTTTAAAGTGAGAGGCTCCTTCCCTTCCCAACTTCCTTGTGTGAAGACAGCATTCCTCCTTTGCATTCTTCCACCACTGCTGAGATGGGGAGGGAGCCAGGGCTGAAGCAAGCCCGTGTTTTAATTATTAAAATGTGTCTGAAGTGTTTGGAGGGAAGGGCTGGGAGGAAGTGAACAGAACCGCCAACAAAGCAATATAAAATATGTACAGAGCAGGTAAATTAAGGATGATTATCCCCTCCCTAAGCCCTGCCTGCAGGCTGAAGTATATGTCAACCAGATGTTTCTAAGATACAAAGAGTTAGTGCTGCTTTTCCCTATGGGCCCATATCAGCAATTCAAAGCACCCTTTATTCTTTTTAACCTGGCCATCTTCTCTTGACAGAAAGGAGAGTGATGGGAGTTGAGATCTCGTGGCCACTTCTGTATGAACCAAAACTATTTCTAGATCCCTGAATATGGGTGAAATCAAGAGATAAGCTGGGGAATCCAGCCCATCTGTACCCCAACTCTTAAGTCCTTTAGATACATTGGATTCTATACTGTTCCTATAATCCCTAGCTAAATCTCATTGGTAGGCTGGTTCTGATTGATGGGAATCGTAATTAATTATGGATTATTATTACTTTTTGGTGCTCTCTAGAGATTCATTTAAACATTTTGGCAGCAAAAGTGCCTGACTACTCAACCCAATATAGCACAACCAACACAAGATGTGAAAAGGATAATACTGCCATCCATCAAAAACATCTCAGAAACCGCCATCAGACTATTACAACCACGTGGCATCAGTGTAGCACACAAACATCCTAAGTAAACCAAAAGAAAAAAAAATGAGTCATCTACTACATACAGTGTAAAGACTGCAACAGCCACTACGTAAGACAAACAGGCAGAAGACTAGCAGAACTCATCTATAAACACCAACTAGCAATCAGAAGACATGATGAGAACTCCTTAATTTCACAACACATGGACAGACTTAACTATGGTTTCAACTGAGAAAATGTGACCATTCTAGACCAAGCCAAGTCCCAAAAAAATCTAGATAATTCCTGGAACTCAACAAACTGGCCATCAATAGGCACACAGACATAAAATCTAAATACTGTACAAAAGAGACTATCAACAAGCCAAAAAGACTAAAACACCTCTCCACTAGCAATCAACACTCATTTGAGCAGAGATTAACACCAAGATTAACATTAGACCAGCATTCAATGAAGCAAACAATACCCCAATCAAGAAAGCACCAATTTAACAGTAAACAGCCCAACCAAAGAACCATCAAGACCACTCCCGCCAACACTGACAGAGGAAGCCACTAGAATATAAAATGGGAGCAAACCTTACTCCTTATTGGCACTGATTACCTAGTTTGGGTAATGAAACTCTGAAAGAAAACAACCAAGCTCAGAGTGAACCAAGGGCCCCTCATGCCAAAAATGAGCTGTACAATATCCTGCTATTGGAGACAGAAATTACATACAAACTCTACTGTAGATCCAGAAGTAAACTTAACACTGTTCATAAGAAATTCTCACAAGTCCCCCTCCAGAAAATTCTGGTCCTGGCCATGTACTCTACTGTCACTGAAGAATTGCTATATCCACCATGCAGTGATTCTTAGAGTCTATTAAAATACTGTCCATTTCCTTTAGCACATTAAAAGAAGACGTAAAGTGGGCACATGAAGAAGGTGGCCAAAGAACTGAGGAAGGTCTAAGGTATATTGATCATTCCCGACTTTCAGTGTCCTGAAACTTGACCTGTTGCCTGATCTCTTAGGTCCAGAGTAAGCATATTTAGGTCTGTACTCACTTGAGCTCTTTAACACCAAGTAAAGGTCATCCTTGACTTACAAC